GTCTTATGAAAAAATTATTAATGAATTTTTAATTGAAAAGGATTTTAAAGAAAGCGGAATTTGTTTAACTTGATGTACCGTTCCGGAAGTTGCTAGTAGGGACTGAGGAAACGCACAAAAAGCTCAGTCATGGTAGCAGACATCTGAATCAAGATATGAACCCAGGAAATCCAGAATACAAGGCAGAACTGCTACGTTGAATTCTGTCACATTCAGAAGGGGTGCGTGCGAACTGTGGGGCATCGTCCTATCTTTTTCATTGATTCTCTCAAACAACGTATTAATTGTAGGCTTTACGTCGTCTTCGAGGCAGAATACTCATTCGGCTTCTTTGTTTCTGGAGCGAGTAGAAACAAGCGTAGTCTTTGAGTTCCCTTTTGTTCCCGCCTAATTCTGTTTTGTTCGGATTTCTTTAATTTTCTGGATATTTCCGTTATTTTTTTTAATTATTTTAAGTCTAATTTCAAAAGTTGTTCAACCTATTTTCAGACTCGAATAATGTTTGTAGTGGTTATATAAAAGAAATGTAATCCATTAATGCACTGTGGTAACAGTATTTACCATTCAAAAGCTCTGCATATCTTCCATAAAGCACAATGGAGGATTTCATATGTTTTTAGGTGTAAACAACAATTAACTTCTCAAAGAACATAATCTAATAAAATGTCAGCAAAATGTGTGGAGGTGTTTCTTAACTGTAATGAAGTCCCCATTTGCCGGAAGATTTCGATTATCTTCAGAGTTTAAAAATTAACGAAAAAAATAGAAAAAAAGGTTGAAATTCATTCAAATGAGTGAATAATTATTATGTGGTTTTGACAATTATTAAATTTAAGCATCACGTGGCTCAAGAAATTTCTTCTTGAATTCAGGAACTAGGCTGTTGTGTTTTTTATTCAAGCTTTTTAACTAGTTCGGAGGATCTTAGTTCTGCTCAGTGGCACTGACGCGCTGGCATCGCATCCAGCTGCAAGTACAATTAATAAATAAGCCTACACATGCCTCGTCGTATTGAATCGCTATTTAATTGTTTCAAATGATCGACGTGCAGATTCGCTTTATAACGGCTTCCATAATACGTCTTCAAGTTATATGAAACCAGTGCAGCAGATAAATGAATTACTTGTTCCCTTGTGTCAATTTGGACGTGCACATCGGTTGCTATGGACCCGCTAAGCCTTTGTCTGCCATCTCCCACACAAAAAACTGCAGAATTCAGTCAGAAGATGAAACTTGTGTATATGTCTGTGTGTGTTAGTCTGCAATCCCAGAATTGTGAGGACCGTCATCACATCAAAAGCTTGAGAATTTTAGTTATTGGAGTGAAAATAACATCAGATGGACAATGTAATATATTTCCATAATTTGTTATTTTAGATTTCTGTTAGTTACGAAAATGAAATGTTCAGAACAAGTCTGTTACAGGGAAGTTATTGGTATGTTGGGGAGAATGGAGCATATAAAATGTTACTATTAATACCTGAAGAAAATATACAATTTGTAAAACCTAGGGATATATATGAGATGATAATATTAAAATGGGTTTTGAGGCAAATGGGATATGGGGTGAGAACTGAACTCAAGTGATTTAAGCTGGGGGGAACACGAGCTGTCGCTTGTAAACACGTTAACACGTACATAAATTTATTAAAAAAGCGACTGTTTCTCACCAGCTAAGGTACTATTAGTATTTCAATGACAACTGTCCTCCATAAAATCAGTTCAAGCGAAGGCGTACGTTAAACTACAAGATAAGTACGGAAACCGATGTGAACAGCTGAGCCAGGGCGAGTGAAGACAACGCAGAACTCGCAGCGTAGCAAAGCAAGGAACACTGTAGTGGTGACTTGGAGTCGCGCAGTAAGTGGGTGGGGTTTGCTACCTTCATCTTTCGGACGTTCGTCTTTGTTTCTCACCAGCTAAGGTACTATTAGTATTTCAATGACAACTGTCCTCCATAAAATCAGTTCAAGCGAAGGCGTACGTTAAACTACAAGATAAGTACGGAAACCGATGTGAACAGCTGAGCCAGGGCGAGTGAAGACAACGCAGAACTCGCAGCGTAGCAAAGCAAGGAACACTGTAGTGGTGACTTGGAGTCGCGCAGTAAGTGGGTGGGGTTTGCTACATTCATCTTTCGGACGTTCGTCTTAGACGGAGGCAGCAAGGACCTCTGAAACGTCGACAAACTTCTACCAGACTACGCGGCGCGACAATCCAGAAGACAGTCATCTCGTTCTCGCTGGGTGGGTCGTTAGGTAAATAAGTGAAAGATTTAAAATCGTTTTTACAGTTAGGGGCAAGAACATTTTATTCCCATTGGATGAGCTCGAAACGAGAAAAAAAGAACGTAAATAATTATCCGGTTACCTACAGCCTAAATGCATAGTATAAAATCTTTGTCCACGAATTTAACAAGGTCAGATTTTCAACAAAGCAACTGACCTACAACACACAGACTCAATGTATCAACTTAATTCCTGGAGATTTCTGATTATATCATGTAGACGATTACTAAAAATAGGGGATTACCCGGTTATTAACAACAGCCTGTATCCTGGTGACTGCACTTTGTAAAGTCCCCTTCTGATTTGGTCGACATCCAGTGATTACAGTGCGAGTGCTCCCGAGAAGATTTTCCACCCGTTGCCTATTATCTTCAGTTAGAAGGGACTGAAAAATACGGGCTTAAAATATAGCACGTGCTCCAGGTCTCTGTTTTGAATCTTTTCAATTTGACCTGTAGTACTCTGCGGCTCAGACAACAAAAGATGGCAAACGAAATGACAGCAGAGTGTTTGTTAGTCTGCTTGCTCGCACAAGTACAACGGAGTGCAGGTGTCTGCAAGGCTGCTGGACTTGGGGTCCGGCCCTCTGCTTCGTAGACCTGTCCCCTTAAACAGAAAGGTCACACTGAACGTAGCGATTAGGTGGTTAAAAACCTGCTTTCTATTCTGAAGGTCACTGATTCGATTCTGGACACGGTATCCTGCTATCGTGACGAGCTTATCTCTGGTTTTCATCCAGGGAAACGCTAGAACTGGTTGACGTTAACAAGTAGAAGCTAATAGTCGGTAAGCTGGTTAAGAAATTCCATGTCTTTTATGGAGCCATAATGTTTATTACCCCATCAACAGAGCCCCAGTGGTGACATCACTTTTTTACCATATTAATCCAACGAAAATACACAGACGATTTATTTAAGACATATTTTAATATTATACTTCCATATTTGTGTGAATTTCCGAAGTTTCCTCTTGTCTTCAGGGTTTCCGACAAAAATTTATCCATTGTTCAATTATCCCATTCGTTCTATGTAACCCACCCATCTGTGTGTACTTTCTCCTTTCCAAATTTTCAAGAAACGATATCCCTGCATTTATTTTCGCATATTATAGGTCTAGAATTAAATCCAAATTAAAAATATATATATTTTTTTTTAAAAAATAGTAATAAAATTTTTTTTCATATGATTTATTGTTGTTGTTATATAGACATTAATGTTCGCGATTTCCGTCGACATGGCTTCACTTTACGTCATACTTCCTCGGTAAACAGTGCACTGTACTGGCAAATTCACATCATCGTCAGCGAGAACATCTGATCTGCCGATCTGTCGTCCACCGCACTCCAGGAGCTAATTTTCAAAAACCATTCTCACGTTTGTTCAGCCAAAGTGAAATAAAGATAAATGCTAAAATATATCAATGCACTTAAGCAAAATCTTGATTTATTAAGTATTGCGTTAAAATTCCAATATATAATATCTAAAGTGACAACGGTTTTCCCGGTATCAGGAGAATTTTACGGGACGTGGTTCTGAAGACACGCGTGGGCCAATTTTCGAAAATAAACTAAATGTTCTACAAAAACGGTTTCCCCACGATCTTGTCATGTTGGCCTTCGGATACTGCCATGAAGCCAATACTGACCAGTGATTGCTTACAGTTATTCCCATTCCACCAGCGTGTGGACAAACTGAGCTTCCATTGGCCAGACTGAGAGACAAGAGTTATGAAAAAAAATGCATAAATTATTAAAACTGCATTGCTGGGAATAACCGACTTCTGTCTAGGACATTTGTAACCAGGACTAGAGGTTCGTATCATGCTTGCTTTCCCATAGACAAATAAATTCTTGTCAGAAGCGTACGTACGTGTTTTTTAAAACAAGATTCTTCGTTCCCCTGTGTGTATTCATAAATCTGTAAATTATTTGCTTCTGCAATAATCTCGACAAATAGGCTCCTAGACCTTCGTATCTAATTCAAAATGTGTTTATTGTGTCCGGTGGTTTCACAACATCGCCCATGGTAAGTTGGTATCTGCTCTAAAAATTCCCTTGTTGTTTACGCTTAGGTATATTTGAGTATCTTAAGGTGTCCACCTGTTGTTTGCCAAGAGTCGTTTCGGCCGACATATCGGCTACATTACCCCCTGGATCGATTCCACAAAAACTTCCGTTCCTTATGGCGTCTACGTGTTACTTAATGTGAGTCACTCTGACCGAGGTTAACTACCAGGATCTGTCTCACTGTTTGCAGTTTATTTATCGTAATGCGGTTGTTGTATCAACCACCCTACAGCAGCCGTCCACCAAATTGCAATGATCCAAGACCACGGAAGAACTTCAATCCCCTTACAGCGCGGCTCTAAGTCAACAATACTGAAATTCTGGCTTTGCTACGCTACGAGTTCTGAGCTGTCCTTACCGTCCTAGGTTTCGCTTTTCATGTCTCGACGTTGTATGATTTTGTTGTGACAAAAGTTACTATAGCTTAGACATTCTGTCCTGCTTTCGTGGTTTATGTGCCCTGGAGATATTCTGCCAATGATCATTCATTCTAGCTCAAGATATTTTATATAAATACCATAATATTATCCGTATTTGTTTTACTTGCAGTCAGTAATTCCGGTCGAATTATCAGCACTGGTATCTCACGAACATTTCTACGTATTCCACTATTAGACCTAAACTTCAGTTTCTTGTGGTGTCCGCAGATTATTTGGTGTGAGGCGCTGTGATCGATGCCAGGCCGGCATACATGCCAAGGATCTTGTGACAAGGGTAAACGACCAGGTTTACCACGTGGATTGTTTCACCTGTGCGTCATGTGGCGCAGTCCTTCGACCGGGTCATCAGTTTCGAATGCGGGACGGACTAGCGCACTGCCTGAGCCACTATGAACTTGTATACAGCCACAATGGTTACTGTGGTGGTGTCGAGTTGGAGGCCACCTTCAGGGCGGGGGACTCCCCGGGGCATTACTACAGTAGCGGCGTCGGAGTCCAGAAAGGTCGGCCGAGGAAGAGGAAGCTATCATCTGTTGTGGATACGGGCGACCTTCCGATCTCCATGAGGCTTCCAGCTGCCGCACTAGGTAACTTACAAGCTATAAGTTATTTTATATGCAAAGCATGACTCATAATTGAAATTTAGGGGAGCTGAAAGAAATTTAGAGTCCTTTGAGGACTAATACTTTCTCGGCGTACGAATATTATAAAATGTTTTCGGGATATCAGCCGCATCAATGTTGAGTCAGTGTTTCGGAGACCGATTCTGTCTCCATCACCAGGATAAATGTGAAAAATTGTCACACTTGTTTATTTCGGTAAACGTTTGACTCAAAATTGATGTGTGCCGATAACCCGAAAATATTTTATGACGAGGCGTAAAAATGTTTACTGTGTTCATATAGGCGAGGAACTGCGGGCTTAGATTTTGCAGGGACAAACTTCAAGCACGCTCCATGCGCCGTGATGAATTTAGCTGATTTTAAAAGCTATGTTCTTACATGTTTTGCAGTGAAATAGAAAAATTATCTTCCTAAACCCTAGTAATTGCTACACCGTATGAATGGGCTGACATTATTTTTCCTTATGCACATGTTTTTGCTATCATCGTTCATAGCCTGTGCTCAAATTCTCGCTGAATACGGTTCCTATAACGTCATTTTCAGGTTGATTGCTTAGACAATTTGCGATACTCTTTTGCTATATACACCCTGTTTTTTGTGTGTGGAACTTTCTTAACCAGCCCAAAATCCCTATCACAGGGTCCTCTGACAGGATAAATATATGACATTTTGAGGTTATTTATTCTATATACATAGGCAAAAGTAGCAATTTTTTTGCACAGGAATTTATGAATGCGGAAGGTTTTAATATTACCGCCTGGCATTAATAATAGTTCAAGACTCTACCATCAGAACACAGCAGCACGGAACAAATCAAGAACATGTGACTTTCTCATACAATCTGTAAAACAATTATGAACTGTAACAAGTTAGATATGAACGGAATGTATAATGTTTTCATGGCTCCACACGTAAATAATGTTATTCTATAAATATTAATATTTTGAACAAATACTGACATGTGGTCTCTCCATTCCCACTCATTAAATCTATTGTTTACATACCCAGTGGCTAAAGTACAGTCAGAGTAACTCAGTTGTTTCTGGCCAGACGTCCGAGGTTCTATTCACTTTAGAGGCACCGATTTTTCCTTCTCTTCTAATCCAGACCAGATCTGTGGTCCTTACAGTAAGCACCCCGCGAGCCTCGTTCCGAGAGGGCGAAGCTCCCGGAACTTAAAGTTCCTCCATTTCCATCTAACCCCGAGATCAAGAAAGAGTGGAGTTATAACTGAAATTCCCTATACGTTTTAACGGCGTAATGATTAATTACGCACAGGGGCACTTGCTTTTAAGCTAATGAATTCACTGTATAAGTTAGCAATTTTAAACGCGTTCGTATGTCATGCAGGAGAAGAGTGATTCAGACAGAGGGTTTGCGGGAGACTGACTCCAGAAAAGATTGTCTTACTTACTTCCAGCCAGCGATTTCAATTACCCGAGTCAACATCTCAAAATAATTTATCTAGGACTGGTGGAAGGGTTGGTCCCTAGTTATTGTTACAACCAATTACGTCTTCAAATAGATCTAACTTCTGTGTTAATCTAACGAAATTCGACTTCACAACACCGCAGTCAATTTTGTTAATGCTTTAGGGACCAAGATTATACCTAACAATTACAGCGACACAGAACACGAGTGTTTGAGAACAAATTGGAAACTTGAAAACGTAACTCCATTGTACAGAATATTTCTTATTTATTTAAGAAATCCACTGTTTTTACTAAATCCAGTACTAATTATATGCAGTTCGGATAATGACACCCTATTCATTTAAGATCTATTTTTATATTACCCCTAAATCAGCATGAAAGATTCCCAAGCATAGTCTTTTTTTGAAGAAAAATTCACCTGAAATTGTTAAGGTGAGATACCGTATCCAACTTACACGGTACAATTTTATCTAACTATTTAACCAGCCATTGTGTTGCACTATTCCTTAAACAGATGTTAACTTGTCAAAAAATATTTTATGAAGATGGGTGTCATCTAGGTTGTAGCGCCGTGTATTCTGGTAAACGTTTAACGACGTTTCAGAGCTACTAGCTCCCTCCATAATCAACGCGAACACACTCGTCGCCTTGATAACTCAAGCAGCAAGTACTTCTGAAACGTCGGAAGCCTTCCACCAGAACACACGTCGTCATAACTTAGAAGAAAGCCATCTTCATACTCGCAGCCTTGAGAATCCCAGATCCTACTAAAAGATTTGTTTCCATAAGAAAATTCATAAAATATTCCTTCAAGTAATAGTCAGCGTTTTAATTAATGTAACTGTGTGCATAATCATTACATGTATTCTTCTCAGTTATTGTAATCGGGGTTATTTTTATTATTACTATTTGGAGTTGTAGTCACGTTGTAACTATATTACATTATCTTCTCGTCACAGGAGCTTAAACTATCCTAACATGAACTTTCAATGTAATTAATCAGTCTACTGCTTGGATTTTCCTGTGTTATCTTCAGGCACCCTCTCATGATTTGCTGGTACCATAGACTTTCTCCTCGTTTGGAAGTTACAAAAAACTGTCTTTAAATTTGAATAGGTGTTCTGCAGTAACGGTGATCGACTATTTAAAAAAAAACTCCTTGTAACCGCGTTTTATTTAGGTTATACATTCTAAAACGTTACTTGTAAGCCTTGTAGACATTCATACAGGCCTAGACTGACTAAACCGTCAATGATGAAAATCCATCATAGTCATTGTTTTAGACGCCATCTGCACTGAGAAACGTGCATTGGAACATTGTTATTCCTTGTCAGATTTAACCACTGCAGTTACTGAATAAGAACCACGTCCATCACCTGTCGATCTTTTCAGTCGGGTACCAAAGTTGCAGAATGATTCACAGTAAAGGTGACTATCGTCGTACGCCAGGGTTACATTCATACAAATCGCCCGCGAAAATAGAAAAACACGTAAATTACACCACATGATTCGGTCGTGAGAACCACGTTTATATATAAATGAGGAGGTGGGTATAGCCATATTGCACCTCTAGGATGCGTAGGTTAATTTAAGATGACAGTCTTCTGAGATCTTACACCGTATAGTCCGGTATAAAATTTACCTATGTTTCAGAGGTGCTTATAGCTTCCATCATCAGGACGATGTTACTATATAGTTCGGTAAAATACGTGGAATTTTAACTCCAATGCCCTATACGCTGTCATGGTATAACCCTGCCTTTATTGTTGCGATGGGGCGAAACTGTGTTTCTGTTGAATTATGGCATCCACCAGATGATACATGAATGAATATTGTCGAGGGGTGGAATGATAATAACAGGGGAAGACTTGAAGACTTGAAGAAAGTTACTCTGTCCGTCAGAAATCCCACGTGGAATGCCAAAGGAGTGAACTCAGGCTTCCACGGTGAGAAGACTGTTTTAACAACACGTCAGATTCGATTGAATTCGCCTCCGTTCCTGCTATTTTTAGTTTTTGATAGAAAAGGGAAAGAAATCTGAATGTGCTTCGTGTGTTACCCGATCCCTGGACTCGCCGACCCCACTGTACCATTTGTATTTGCTGTACACTTGAACCCTCCCCCTAGCGCACCTGCATGGCTTGTATAAATACTACATATGTGATCATACTCTCAAGGGGACTTGTTGCTAATGGGATCTCCCATGTGGTTCGCAATTTTTTATTAACTCAGACTACCAATGGCATGTTTTCTGTTCCTTCGGCAGAACTCTCTGTTTCATATTGTTGCTGCTATTTCAAAAAAAACATGGAATATCTATTTCTATTCCCTTTTTAATACATTTTACTCAGGGGTGTAACAACCTTTATTTAAAGATTCTTTAAATATTAATTCAATGTGATGTTTAATAAATGAACCGTGTAGAACATCGCCTTTACGAGTCGTAATAAAAAATTTCAAGATTGTAACTGTGAAAAATTAAAGATACAATGCTCACAGAGCTGAAAGTTAAAATTAGGCTTCAATTTAGGTTCCTTCTTCAGGTAAACATTACTTCTCAGATTCAAATTTCAAATCGCCCATTGCTTCCACATTGCATTGTGATCAGTTGATACGTTATAAAATATTTTGTCCTTAAAATTCTTCTCACCTTTATAAAACAGAGAAAATCACAAGGGTTACGTTGTGTCACCTGTGGAATACTGTTTTTATTTAAAAATCCGGTTTTCAGTCTACTTCTGGAGCAGTTGTCATGGAACGAACATAGTACAGGACACTCGTAATATTCAATGTACATTTAAGGGTCTTCGATAACACCTCTCAAAATCTCGTGTCGAATATCTTTTTTTCGTTTATTCTCCAAATAATATTTTCATAAACTAGTAAGTTTCTGTCGCCGTATTTAGTAACCTAATGGACACTCATTGTTCTGTACTTTCGAATATTATTAAACCGACACGCGCTAAAAACTTTCCTGAATATCAAACGCTGATCACGAACGAGTGAAGGTATTTAATGAACTGCAAACATGACTGGACATGCCATTACACGTTTGTCGCATCCACGCCCTTGCGCAGTGCAATATAGGCCTAGACATATCCAAGACACCAGCGGAGTTTTGATAGGCGTAGTAATTCTTTACCAGATATTGCACGTTTCCTTATTTTATATTTTATACTTTGTCATATTCTGCTAATGGTTTATTTAAAGCATCACATTACGGCAGGATACGTATCTTCTAGCTGTTACAAGATATAAAAGAGAGGGACATATCTCGTTCATAGCATGGAAAGTGCCAAGTCGTTATAAGTTGTTAATTTTATGTATTTCAGTGGAATGAGATATGAGGATATTAATCAGCATTTTTACTAATTCTGCGGAACAAAGACTTATTTATAAGCTAGTCAAGAAACTTTCCGTCTTGCGTGGAAACCGAAAGTTTGAAACCGTGTTTACAAGAAACAGCCACGGCCCTTTTCTGACTCATACAAATTCAGCCCACATCTTTATATCACACTGTATATTTAACAT